ATATTGGATGTGTGTGTGTGTGTGTATGTTTGGGAAATATGACCTTTCTCTCTATTTGTTTATATACATGTGTGTGCACGTAGATGCATATGAACTACAAGTCTATAAGTCTATAATTGATGAGCCCACTGAAAATTTCATCCTTTTCTGGTCTACAAGTTTGATCACTTATAAAGATGATCTTGTTCCTTTCTAACTACATTAAGAATTTAAAACTCTTAATGTGAATCATACTTGTGTCATTTTTTCATTGAGTTGTGTTGTTTCAGATTTTGGCAAGGCAACAAGCGCAAAGGGAAGAGGAGCTTTCTCAAACACAGAGGCATATTCTCGTGCTTCAGGTATGTGCTATAGATTTTTTTTTAATTGTGCATTGTTCCAACTATAAAAGCAACCCATAAACATCAAGCCTGTTTGAATTTATTTTATCATTTGATAAGATAGGCGTTGTAGAGTAGGGATGTTGAGAAAAAAATAAAAATAAATTACTGGGTTGAAGTCTTTTGGCCATAGTAAAAGGGAGAAACGGAGAAAAAGAGGAAGAGGAGGAGAAGAGAACTCATTTACTTTCAAGCATGGAGGCAAATTCACATGAAAATAATAACAATTTCTAGTTTTAAATTCTATTGGAATAAGATTTCAGAAGTACTAAAGACTATAATGACTCATTGTGCAAGAATAAGGAGGACGATAGACAAGAATTCTGGAAAGGATATACCAATCATTAACCTAATATCTTGGAAACTGTCGCAATGGCCCTTTTTAAGATTCAATTTCACCTTATTTTTTATCCTTGCAAATCTGTGCCACGTTAGATTTAAGATGGGTTAACTATTATAAGATGGGTTAAAACTCACAAATTATAATACTATTGTAAAGCAGAAAATAACAAAGATATTAACTTCTAGCCTTCTTTGAGGTGAAAACATTCCTCAGGGCTACTTTTTCATTTTTTATTTTTTTAATTTATTCTTTTTCATAAGCCTTTTTGTCTGGCATCTGACATGATGTATTACAACTGCTAGTTTGCTTTCTGATGATCGTTAGCTTTAATGCAGGAGGAAATTGAGGAACTGGAGCATGAAAATCGCCTCCATAGGCAACAGGTACTTTATAGTGCTAGTTTCCGTACCATGTCATTTAAAAGTGGGAAAACACACGGAATCCAATATATTGGATAACAGAATTTTATGAAGCTGCAAGAATATGTTTTATGTCCATGCACGTAAATATTGGATAATAGAATTTTATGAAGCTGCAAGAACATGTTTTATCTCCGTACAAGTTGTCATTCTAACCGACTCCAAAAGGTGGCAATCAATGAAATCCTCTCTCTCACAGTCTCACTCTCACACACGTATCCAAGACGCCAACCACTATTTGGATGAGGCAAATTTGCCACCAGATAAATATTGTTCTATATATCCATTGAGATTGTGTTATTACATTTATTTAGTCGTTTGATGATAACATGTGCAGGAAGCTATGTTGAAGGAAGAACTCCGAAACATGGAAAGAATGGAGAAGAGGGAAGGAGTGGATCTGACATATCTTAAAAACGTTATCTTAAAGCTTCTTGAAACAGGTACATTCGCATTCATCATCTCTTCCTCGCCTCCTGCACCTCGTCATTCATGATCAACCCCAATCCCCCGATTTTATAACATTATTGATTTCATTTTCTAATCAAGTAATATTTATTTTTTATTTCCAATTCATCAAATTGACATTTGATGAACTAGCTGATGTTGGAGATTGAGGGATTTATGTTAGCTGATTTTGTGCTTTAAAATTTGTTTTGTTATCAATTTTTTGCTATAGAAAGTTACCTGTAACTTAGGTTAGAAGTTCTTGTTTTAGAGTCTTTTTAAAATTGGTCAATCATTTAGTTTAGTCTTCTAAGTTGAAGAATCATTTCCTTAATCCTAATTTCTTCTAGAAATAAGTTAGTTGATACGATTTCAATGCTATTGATTTCCTAGACACCAACTCAACGAGCTTGATTTGGCTCCAAATCTGTCCCACTTGAGCTTAGATAAAAAAAGATACTTATTCATGTAAGTGTCCTAGATATCCATAAATTCTTCATTATACGAAACATAGAAAGAGAAGATATCTATAGGAAATGACTCATAATGAAGTTAATTATTTTCATTATCGTATGCCTAATTATTTATTTTCTCATTCATTATTTGATATTTTTTTATTTAATTTTAGCAAACATACTGTTTGACAACAAAATGAATAGTCTGTTATCCTTTTAGTTAACTTGTGCTTATATAATTAGGTGAAGTGGAGAGACTGCTACCAGTTGTTGCTATGCTTCTTCAGTTCAGCCCTGACGAGGTGAGTTTATTTATTTTTTCCTTTGCTGGACAATGCTCTTTGCCACAGAAATGTATGTAGAAAAAGATTTCTGGAATTTGCTACACTATTTTCTTTTTCTTCTGTTAGCATGAGTGTGGAGTTGAGTTATTATCTGGAGTGCATGCAAACTTGTCTTTGTTGCTAGTACAGTTGCGCATTGCAAGTTATAGACTAAACATGCGAAATTTTGAACTTTTTACGACTATTCCTAACTAATCGGGCATTTAGTTTTCGTTTATTCCATTCTGATTAAGTGAATAAATCTTTGAAGTTTATTGACCTGATATTTTTGGGTTCTGCTTCGATTTCATATTTGTTAACGAATCTTATCGAATCTACAATTGCAGATGCAGAAATGTCAGCAAGCCTACCGCGCTTCAACCGAAGTCCCGCCTAGCCCAGCAAGTGATTCTTCGGGATCTGGGCGGTCTCTCTTCTCTAGGTTCACATTTTCATAGCATGTGTTTGATTAATCAATTGCTTCTTGAGATTAAATGATGCAAAAGGGCTTATTGTTCATTGCCACATGGAGGAGATGCGATCAGGATCGACTTTTACATTGTTAATGTTACGATAGATCCCTAGTATGGATACACTGTAAAAGATCTGATGGGAAATTGAGATGCTTCAGATATAGAAAACAAATGCGAGACAACAATAATAATGGTCAAATTTATTTGTACATACGATTTTTTTTCCAACTTTGTATCCGTTAAATATAGCAAAGCCGTGATTTCTTCACACGACTAAGGAGAGGTTCTAAATATAACAATGTCGGAATGCAGAATATTAGTGTTACAATTATTCATATATATTTCTTTGAGAGAACCCCTCAAACAATTTTTCGTTAGACGTAAGCACACTTTTTATTTAACTTTGACATTGAGTCGTCGACTAAATGTTTTAGTAATTGGTACTAAATTTTTTTAAGTTACTCGACTAAGTTTTCGTTGACTAATTTTTTTGTTTGGTTGTTTTTACCAAGCTAGTGAGTTTTCTCTCCCCTATTATATTTCACTCGTTAAATTAAATCTCCACCACCAGTAAACATACGATATTAGATATAGGACAAAATGCACTTAACCCCCTTAAAAAATCAACTTTTTGCACTTTCCCCCCTGAAAATATATAAAAGAGACTTCCCCCTTCAAAAGATAAAACTAGGAGCAGTTTGCCCCAGAATCAACTTTTGTCCAGAATTCAGCCGGAGTTCGCGTTTTATAAAGGGTATTTTCGTTATTTAAGGTTAAATTATTATTTTATCTTTTTTTTTTCTTTGAAAGGTATTATTTTATTTTTTCCAACTAAAGTAAAATCCTGCTCAGAAAATTATTTACTAAACCTAAGAATTAGGGCTTTTCTTTTCTCTCCCCAAAATCAACCCACGCTCTGCTATGAAATCTTCACTGACATAATCTGAAAATCATGGAAGCAATATGAGTTGGAAATTGCGACAAGGACAGCAAAGAACAATCAATGGTATTTATATTGAATTCGATTTTTATTCTTATGCTCTTCTTTAACAATGGCATTAAATCAATGGTTAAGTTAATGTATTTTATATTGTTTGTTTTAGAACCCGTGAAGTTATACAATCAGCGTCCCTTTTAAAATATGAATAATGGTCCCACACCATTAAAAAGTTTGTCTTGTATATGCTTTATGTTCACAGATTTGAGATTGTGGATGTTTATCCTTTATTGTTTTCTTTTATTTTCAAATAATAATAAATTCACTATGCCCACATATACCCTTTTCCTATATTAATATACTATTTATGTCATTACCTGAGCTTAATTAATTAGTTTCACTTAATGTATATTAATATTTTGTATGTCCCAGGTGACTCAAAAGATTTTACAATTCAAATGCATCATGGAGGAAATTTTCTAAATCTTGGTTTACGATATTATGTTGGAGGTAAAGTCGACCACTTTGACAATTGTAATGCAGACACGATGTCGATGAGAGAAATACATTCCATGTCCGTTGAATTGGGTCACTACAAATTAGGTGATAATTGTGTTGCATTGAGGTATTATCACACTTTAGGAAGACCTTATGATTGCACTGCTGTTAAAGAATTGCTTAATGACATCGATGCCATGAACTTGGAGAATTTTGTTGACGGGGATAAAGTGGTTGGTGTTTTTGTTGAACACATGAACTTAGAAGAATTTAACAAAGAAGATGGTAATGAGAAATTTGTAGGCACTGCCTTTGATGATAATGATAATGATAATGAAGGTGGGGGTGAGATTAGGGTCGGTGCTATTAATACAGAACATTCTGATTGTGATAGCAATGAACAATCATATGGCGACGATTCTGAACACTCTGATAAACTACATGATAGTGAATATGATGATGAGATATATGACGAAGATATTGATCTGGATGTTGAATGCGATGGGGCGGTTTTGTGCCAAAATGCTAATAACGAGGCTTTCGTCTGTCGGAGTGATGCTACAAAAGAGGATTTTTGAATACAACCATGCATATCCGCTTATGGTTCAATCCTAAAGCAGATATGGCTGATCCAAAGTTTGTTGTTGGATTATGTTTTTCATGAACCGATATTTTTAGAGCAGCTGTGAGAAGACACTCTATGAAGCATGGAAGAGATCACATTTTTGAAAAACGATCCTCATAGAGTTAGAGTAAAGTGTAAGGATGAGCAGTGTGAGTGGATGGTTTATGCGTCTTATAAGCATGGTGAAAATACAATGCAAATCAAGACTCTTGGATCAGAACATAGTTGTAGTAGGCAAAGCAAAGTTTCAGCTGCAAATTCCAGATTTTTGGCCACTAAATACCATGATCACATACGAACCAACCCTTCTTGGCCTATTACATCCATGATGACTGTTGCACAAAAGGAGTGTTAGTTATAATTTTCAAGCTTTCAGTTGTACAGAGCTAAGAGAAAAGGATTGGAAGAGGCTAGCGGTAGTGAGAAAGAGCAATTTTCAAGGTTATGGGATTATGCAGAGGAAATCAAAGCAACAAATCCCGACTCTACAGTGAAAATAAAGAGTCATATTGGTGAAGATAATGTGCTGAGATTTCAGAGAATGTATATTTGTTGGGGAGTATTGAAAACTGGATTGTTGGAGGGTTGTAGGCCTCTCATAGGGTTAGATGGTTGTCATTTAAAGGGTCCAAGTGGAGGGATCCTTTTAACTGCAGTTGGTATTGATGGAAACAACAGTATGTACCCTTTCGCCTATGCTGTTGTTGAAAAAGAGAAGACTAAATCATGATTATGGTTTTTGGAGCTTTTAGTTGAAGATTTGGACATTAGTAATAGTTACACGTGGACTATAATGTCAGATAAGCAGAAAGGTTTAGTGGAAGCTGTTGAAACTTTGTTACCGGATGCTGAGCACAGATTTTGCGTTTTGCATTTGTACAATAATTTCAAACTGAGTCACAGAGGATTGCGTTTGAAGGAAATTTTGTGGAGAGCAGCATCATCAACAAGAATTGTGGACTTCAATGCAGCCATGAATGAGTTGAAGAATGTCGATAGTAAGGCATTTCAGTGGTTGTCAGCTAGATCACCTCAACATTGGTCTAGAGCTTACTTTAGTACTTACTTGAAGTGCGATATGCTTCTTAACAACCTATGTGAGAGCTTTAATGGAATGATAAGAAAAGCTAGAGAAGAACCAATAATCTCGATGCTTGAGTTGATCAGAATAATGTTAATGAGAAGAATTCATCGACAAAGGGACTTGGTCGGTAAAAGTAGTAGCAGATTGTGTCCAAGAATCCAACTAAAGCTGGATGAACTCAAGAAAGAAGCCATGGCGTATAATGTTGAGTGGAATGGGCATGAACAATTTGAGGTGATTGGTGCATTTCAGGAAAAAAATGTAGTACACTTGGGTGAAAAAACTTGTAGCTGTAGAAAGTGGAATGTTTCAGGGATACCTTGTAAACATGCTATTGCAGGTATGTCTTATATGCACTATCCACCTGAAGAGTTTGTGGTTGATTGCTACAAAAAAGAGGTGTACTTGAAGGCTTATTCGAGGATGATGAAGCCAATGCATGGCCCTGACGAGTGGCCAAACTCTAATAGAAGCCCGCTACATCCTCCTATTGTGGAAAAGCTTCCAGGCAGACCGAAGAAGGCTAGAAAGAAGCAACTCGGTGAAGAAGTTGCAAAAAATGGCAAAAAAAAAAACTAGCAAGAAAAGGGACAAAAAGTAGATGTTCTATTTGCAAAGAATTTGGACATTACAAACGCACATGCCCTAAAAAGGATGATAATGTTGGAGTAAGAACAGAAAGTTCTGCTATTACTAAACTAAAGGTAACTTTAACTTTAGTTTATAATAAATCTTTGCTTGGATTTAACTTGGGCTTACTATATTATTATTGTTTGTAGGTAAGAAGGAAGAATACATTTTCAAGAGCTCAGCCAGATGCAATAATATCTACTCAACCAGCTCCAAGATCGAGTATATCCCAAGATGGTGGCTTTTAGACATAGAGATGTTGTGTAGTAGATTTTTTTAAAAATGCCCATTAATATATACTTTTGGGAATGATCGTCTGATACGATTTTTTGTCAAGGATCTTGATATTAGGTTGATTTGATTTTGAATGCTTCTGATGCCTTAAACTTGACGTATGTTTGATTGGTTTCTTATAAACTTAAATGAATGGCTTTTTCTCAACTTTTTTTTTTGTCAACAATGATTATCTGATGTTATTTACATATTTTGCTTTATTATTATATATTTGGTTTGCTTGTTATACATGTACTTTTTAATTTGCGAAGTTTGGTTCTTGTACATGTTCTGTAAGTGAAAGTGAAAATAAAGTTAAGAAAAAAATAATTTTACTGTTATATATTCTGGTTTTATTGTTGTACATGCATTGTTTAATTTGCAAAGTTTGATTCTGGTACATGTTCTGTGAGTGCAAATAAAGTACCAAGAAAAACAACATTTACATTACAGTACATGAATCAAGATAAAGACTGCTGACAACTTTTGACATAAGTTTACATTATAATTCAACAACTACCAATTAGAATTCAAGTTTACAGTACATTACACTAACAAATACCATTGATTGTTCTTTGTTGTCCTTGTCGCGATTTCCAACTCATATTGCTTCCACGATTTTCTGATTATGTCAGTGAAGATTTCATAGCAGAGCGTGGGTTGATTTTGGGGAGAGAAAAGAAAAGCCCTAATTCTTACGTTTAGTAAATAATTTTCTGAGCAGGATTTTACTTTAGTTGGAAAAAATAAAATAATACCTTTCAAAGAAAAAAAAAAAGATAAAATAATAATTTAACCTTAAATAACGAAAATACCCTTTATAAAACGCGAACTCCGGCTGAATTCTGGACAAAAGTTGATTCTGGGGCAAACTGCTCCTAGTTTTATATTTTGAAAGGGGGAAGTCTCTTTTATATATTTTCAGGGGGGAAAGTGCAAAAAGTTGATTTTTTAAGGGGGTTAAGTGCATTTTGTCCTTAGATATATACCAAGCAGCAAGTTCATATCATCGAAGAATGCAACAATAAGCTTCAATAGTATCTCCTCTCATTTATCTTTCTGATAATGAAGGAATCTGCAGTCAACTATATAATTCCTCATGAATCTTTCAGATTAAAAAATAATTAATTACAAAAAGTCAGTTTTGGCATCATATAACACTTCCCTCGCCGCAGGGCAACAAGAGACAGAGAGTGCAATCAATGAGGGGCAACTCGATCAAATCATAAATTAGAGGATATATCTCGGATAAAATCTAATCGACTTTTATTGAAGTACAAAATAACATCTATTTATACCTCCAAGTAGTCTTCACCCGTGCGTTGCACGGGTTATTCATCATAAAAATAAATATTTATTTTTAAAAGTTCTCAAAATAGTAAGATCAATGGTTGATGTGCAATACAAAGTAAAAAAAAAAAAATTGTTCCATGTAAGTAACGAATTAAGCCAAAAAAGATGGAAAAAGCTAAATACCGAATGTTTAATTCCCATATACAAAAGGCAAATACATCGTTACCATTACCATTACTATTACCATTACCATTACCAATGCCAATACAAATACTAACACCATTACCATTATCATTGTCACTATCATTACCGATAGCAATACTTATATAAATACCGATACAAATACCGATACCAATATCATTACCACTACCACTATCATTACCGTTACCATTACCATTATCCTTACCATACCATTGCTAATACTAATAGTAATATGGTAATAATAATACTAATCTGGTAATCATACTATTACTATTAGTAATCATAATGCTAATCCTAATCATTATGCTAACGCCAATCCTAATTTCCTACACTAATGCTAATGCTAACCATAATCCTAATCCTAGTACTACACGAAATCTAATTCTCTAATCAAAATTCTAATGCTAATTCTAATAATAATGTTAATCTTAATCCTAATACTAATTCCAATTATAATCTTAATCCTAATAATATTACGAATCATAATTCTAATCCTTGTATAAATGCAAATATGCTAATACTAACACTAATTTGAATACTATTCGTAGTATGCTAATGCTAATTCTAATCATAATCCTAATTATAATGCTAGTACTACAAATATGGTACTGCTAATTGATTTACCATAAATGGTTCAACATCCCTGGTGCTAATGCTAATACTAATGGTAATGATAATCTTAATACGAATGTGAATGCTAATACTAATATTAATACTAATCCTAACGTTAATCGTGATTTGTTAATGCAAATGTGAATGCTAATACTAATACTAATACTAATATTAATCCTTATATGATAATGACAATCCTAATATATTAATCATAATCCTAATGGAAATGTTGATTTGTTAATGCTAATCCGAATACTATCTTAATGGTAATGTTAATTCTACTAATAATCCTAATCCTAATATTAATACTAATCATAATCGTAATGCTAATGCTAATGCTAATTTTAATCTTCCATCATAATGTTAATGCTAATCTTAATCCTAATACTAATTATAATCTCAATTCGTATCTTAATCGTCATCATAATCCTAATCCTAATACTAATAATAATCATAATCCTAATCTTAATTTTTAACACTAATATATGCTAATGGTAATAATAATACTAATTTTGATATACTAAACTTATAATTTAATGCTAATGTTAGTCTTAATCATAATCCTACTATAAATCATAATCCTTATCATATTCATAATCACAACCCTAATGTAATCTTAATCTTAACCATGATCCTGATCCTAATCCTAATGTTGATCCT